AATGATACTGGTGTCAGTTTCCGAATTTTAAAATCTCATAAATACATGTGGATATGTGGTACTTGAAGCAACGTACCTCTGCAGTCGTGAGGAAGACGTCATCAGATATGTGGCGCACTCCGCAGGCTATAACGCCCAGAGCAACTCCGGGGAAGACGTAGGAGTTGTTGCCCTGCCCGGGGTAGAAGCTGCGTCCGTCAGACAGCGTCACCTTGTTGAAGGGACTCCCGCTGGCAAAGATGCCCCGGCCCTGATTAAAGAGAGGAGGAAGGAGATAAGATACTTCTGGAAAGATAATGGACTATGGAACGAGCTAACAATGTGTTCATGCTGACTTAGTTGTGCATGTTTCATAATGTCATAATGCTACGCAGGCAAGTTAAGTTCACTTTTTGGGGGGGAAATTCTTGTCGAGCTTCGAAGAGTTTTGTTAAAAGTTGGTCAACTACGACTTGGTGTGACATTTCCCATACCAAGTTGTAGCTGCTATATGAAACTGACTGCACTGTCCTGCAATGAAAGTGCTAATAAAAGCACAGATTCACAAAATAATGCAGATTTTTAAAACATAAAAAAGTCTTGCCAAGGTAAGCACTTAGTCTTTATGATAGGCTGCAAATATACACGGCACTTCAATTATGATTTGAATTAATTAGAAGCTTGTCTTTTCTAACTATATTGTGCACTCGGCCACCCTGCAGTCAGGCTGAACATTACCTCTGTGAGCTTGTAGCACTGCTCTGCTGTGCACTCGGCCTTGCTGGTAGGATTACTGAGGGCAAAGATGATCGGCCTCTCATTGAAGGATGCCATGTCTTTGATTATCTTCTCTGTAAAGGCTCCTGCGATTGCAGCCACACCTTCAGGGCAAATTCCAAAAGGGAGGATTAATCAGGTTTCCAACAGCAAGAGTTTGAGCTTCATCACAATGTTAAACCAATGTTAACAATTTGAAGGATTCCGCCACTAAAAATACAAGTCTCCAAATTGATGTTTCATTCCTGGAATAAATTTTCCTTTGAATTATATTTCAACGATTTCTTCAAAGTGGTGCAACAGTTTGGATTAAAAGTGTGCCAGTTCATCATATGATACATGCAGAGTTGGGATTTTAAATGCATGAACATCCACTTAAAAAAAATCTTGTGAATAAAAAGATTAGGATGAGTTGATTTGTAGCAAAGTTGGAGTTAAAAAAACAACAAAAAAAAGTCACCTTTATTGAGTTTTCCACAACTGGTCAGGATGAAACAAACAATGTGGGTTATAAAAGTCTTTTATATACAACACTGACTAAATGCGCTTTAAAAGTTGTTTCTGGATTCAAACTGCAACAAAGCCAGAGACTCGACGTTTCTCTGCTGCGTGTGTTTCACCTTCCCGCTGGACTCACCGATGATGGCGGTGGGTTTGATGGTGTGAACCACCTCCTCCAGCGTCTTCACGTGCGGGTGATCGTGAGCAAACTCCTCCTTCTCGTGGTTCAGGTGGCTTCTTCCCTGCATTTACATTAAAATGTTCCTTCTTTAAAACCCCGCATGGTGCCGTTTAGTGGCTCATATACGCATATGAACAGACAAGTTACCTTAACAATGAGGCCTTTAGAGTCGACCATCCAGATCCTCTTGGCAGCATCTGCTTGACTTACTCCTTCTTTGGCCATGGCCATTATAAGCAAGTGGGCAATACCAAGAGCAGCCTGGTAGGAAAAAAAGAAAAGAAAACAACACTCAATTCTCCATCTGCATCTCCTGTTTCAGCTAAATTTGTCATCTGGGCAGAGAGCCTGTCTTGTCACTTAGGGATTAAGGACGGCTATTTTTACTTCAAAATGGAATAAAGTCCTAGAGAGCAAATCCGCTCACCTCGCCTGCCCCCTGGAAAACAAAAGTGTGGTCTAACAGTTTGTTCTTGGTGATCTTCAAAGCAGCTAAGATTCCCGCAACAGCTACAGACGCCGTGCCTGGAGGAGAGAGAACACACTTGTGATTATTCTCTGGTAGCACAAGACGTATCGGCTGCAGATCATGTGCAGCAGTCGAGACCGATTCGACCAAAGAGCACATTTTTCGGTGCTTGTTTACAGAAAATCAACCTAACTTTGTGCAGCAAAAAAAAAAAAAGTTTCTTTAACTCTCTTATTCTGGTAAAGATTCCTCCTTTGTGGGCCCTCACCCTCAGGTTAGATATGATCAGACGCAGTGCATACAGTAATGTAGGATGTCAATACAGAACATTTAGTAATTTAAACAGCTGGTTTTACATTTTCTGAATCTTGAGATGTGAGCTGAAGTGAGACTATGCAGCTTATAAAAGAAGAACTGGGATTTCCAGTGATATGTTTGTTGTACAGATTGTGAAACCGCTTGAGGCAATTTTTTTTGTGATTTGATTTTGTGAGGCCTTGTTGTTCCTGTTCTGCTGCATGTCTACTGCGTTAGAGTGTGCAACCACTGAGAGAAATAAAAAGCATAATTAAGTCCTATTTGCATGTGTTCACATGCTGAGACAATAAGGTGGATTCTAATAAAAGAAAATGTGTTTATACAATGATATAAATGTGGATGCTGCTGCTGAGAAGCTACAAATTGTACAGTGAAGATGCTTCACACGTATCTTTAACCCGATAGCACAGAAGATCTATACAGTCAGCTCAGTTTCAACATGGTTGCAAACCTCTCCTCTGCTGATGGCATTGAATAATGGCCAGAAAAGTGGTTTTACTGAATATTTTGACGTCACATGAAGTTGACTTTTGTAGTTTTTAAAATAAAATGTGATCACTTTATTAATTTAACTTACATTTTTGTGCAGCTTTGTAGTAATTACTGGCCACAAACATGTTGTGTGACTACTAAATTCTAATCAGTTTACTCCTGGAGTCCTTGTGGACATTTGGGCCAAATTTGAAGCAATTTCCTATTGAAGTTTCATGGTTAACCCCAAAACATATCTGACTCATTCATTAGCAACAAAACACAAACTCTATGGCTTCATTAACCACGAGGGTTTTGCTGTGATAGCTTTGCTTGGCCAGATAGAACCAGTTAGCTTTAGTTAGATGCTGTGCAACTAGTGCTGTTCCTGCTACACAAGGTTTTACTACGTCACTGATAAACATGCCAATGCAAAAAGAAAAAAGAATTAAACATATTTTTTTCTATTTATGGTCTCAAAGTTGATGTATTTTTGGCTTGCAGATTTTTCTTGATTAGAGTCTATGTTAGATAGAAAAACGTTAAAATGAGGCCGAGGAGGGAGAGAAAGGGGACGAAAGGAAACAAAGCTTACTGAGGACTTTGCTTTTACATAGTCTTAAAACCTTAGACCACCTGGGGCCACCTCTGTGTCTCTGAGAATTAGCATTTGTAGCAACAGTGGCTGTCTTGTTTTAAGGACTCAGATTTGAAAGAACACAAGATTTCTTTAAGCTCCAACAACAGCTCGATCAGGGTAATAAACAGGCAGACATGACTGCATACACAAAGCTATTTAAGCAGCAGATTCTACAAGTAACCTTAAACATTACATGTGGTTAGATATGGCCTCCTTTTGCATTTTATGACAGACTAAATTCAGTATGTCAAGTGAGGATTGGTGCACCTGGTGACTTAGAGTCATAAAAAATAGATAAATATAAATACATAATTACACACTGCTCTGCTCAGTTTTCACATTATATTAATTCATGTTTTAATTGTCCTTGTGGTGATTTGTATTTCTGGGATGGGAATCTTGGGAAGTAACGGCACACTTTGGATGTTTACATGTTAAAAATGTTTCAATGTGATGTATATATAGGATAAAAGCAATAAGACACTGTCTGCCTGATGGAGGCCAGCAGTAACATGACTGAATATAATAAAGCACCTTGGATGTCGTCATTGAAGGTACAGTATCGATTCCTGTATTTGTTGAGGATGCGGAAGGCGTTGCTGTTGGCGAAATCCTCGAACTGTATCAGGCAGTTCATCCCGTACCTGCAACATGAACAGTGCGATGAGTCGAGACATCAGGAGCAGCTTCACTTCTTTAAATCGTTTGCGTTTTTGCTCACTTGTCCGTCACTGCCTGCATGAACTCGTCGACCAGCTCGTCGTACTCTTTTCCTCTGATTCTCTTGTGCTTCAGTCCGATGTACAGCGGGTCATCGAGCAGCGCCTGGACCAGAACCAAACATTTAATCAGTCAATCAGTAAGAGACAACTTGCCATTGTCTTTTTGTTTTGGAACCTGTCAATCAGTAAACAATAATTGAGTCTTATCAGCAATTCTCTGATCTTGTCTGATTTGGAATCTGCAACGGCGGATTAAAGACAGATATGAAGTGCAACATCAGCTTATAAACGCTGATTCCTGCGGTTTTTGAGGTCGCGCTCACCTGGTTGTCTGTTCCAACGTCCAGCAGCACAGGGAGGCACTGCTGCGGTTGAACCCCTCCGCAGGCTGTGTAGAGCGCCAGCTTCCCGACAGGAATCCCCATCCCGTAGCTGCCCAGGTCGCCCAGGCCGAGGATGCGCTCTCCGTCCGTCACCACAATGGCCTGAACAGAGTCGGACATGCGGTTACAGCGGGTTTCGCTTCTCAGAGCTGTGTGTGTGTTTGAGTGTGTGGTGTGCACCTTTATGTCTTCTTCAGGCCAGGAGTTGAGCAGGGTGGCGATGTGGCCTCGGTCGTGGATGGTAATGAAGAGTCCTCTGTTAACAAGTAGGGCAGCAGCCAGTCACAGGTTTGATTGAGTTCATGATGAAAAGTTTTAGATGCTGCATGCCTTAGGCTTTCATTCACCGCAGTTGATCAGGAAAGCATCAAGAAAAGTTGTCCATCATATGGACTAAAGCCTTAATAATAAATGCTTGATGTACAAACATACATTTAAAAGCTAGAAACTAGTTTTACAGTACAATATCTTCTCCATCATCTAAGCCCATGCTGTGACAGACATTAACGCAGTGGTTCTCAAACTGGGGGTCGGGATCCCCATAGGGGTCCCTAAGACAATTTCAGGGGGGTCGCCAGATCATCGTAAGAAAAATATAAAAGTAAAGTCGACATTTATTTTAAAAAATTGCAATGCAATGGGGCAGTCAAAATTAAAAGTGTATACTTCTTCCCACTCCTTTTTCGAACTTGTTAACATTGTGATTTGATTATGCCATATTATTATTGTTTTTTTAAATCTGTTTAATGCTCTTTTAAAAAATATTTTCTTTTGTTTTTACATTTTTTCCCCTTCCATTTGTTTGAAATATATTCAATTCATTCATTCATTCAAAAGAAAACGTTAATGTTAAGAAAGCAGATTAATCTGTGGAATAAACACATACATTTTTAAAGCATTAATGCATGAACAACAAAGTTATTACTCATGCCACATTAAAAATTCACACTGGGGGACAGAACCACTGCATTAACGTAGCTTATTTAGAAACATTACTGCCAAACTTTAACTTGTAAACTCAACATCTAACAAGTGAATATTAAAAAATATGAAATAAATGTGTCACCGTGGTCTCCTGAAGGCCAGCCCATACTGTTGACATGCCAGGCCCACGGTGGGAGTGTACACGATGGGCATGAACTCTTCGATGTCGGAGGTCAGCACACGGTAGAACAGCTTCTCGTTTCTGTCCTGCAGCGTCATCAGGAGGATGTACCTGAGACAGAGAGAGACGCAGAAAGATTTTTGTTTTGGAAAGCTGCGTTTCTATCGTTATTACTGTCTTATGATTATCATCTGTCTAGAGGGTCACATGCCGAAAAGCAAAATGAATTTAAGCTGAATGTCATGAGCAGAACTGTGTCGCCTGGAGACGGTAATGTCACTCAGCTGTTAGATGGCCCACTGTGATCCAGACTGAAATAGCTCAACAATTACTGAAAGGCTTTCCATGAAACTCTGCAAAAACTTTCAAGCTTCCCAGCGGATGCAGCCTAATGACTTTGGGGAAGCCCTGATGTTTGTTCTAGTTTTAACTTATTCAACTTTAGAACTATTCAGTGGTTTATTTTAATCCACTGTAATTTTTTTCTTGCTCTATCATCAGATTGCTTTGCTTTTCATTTTGGTGTTTTATTCCCCCATCATACTCGCACCAGGGCTGTCTCTAGTAATGGCAATGGGAGATGTAGATAAGAGAGCAGGAGAATAACAGATCAGGTGGGAGTCTACCTGTTGATTTTGTTGTTGTTGATTTGCACCCGTGTTGTCTGCGTCCTAACCTCTTTGCTGTCAATTCATATGTCTTAAGGTGTTTTCGACTGATTTTGATGAAATTAACTGCAGCCATATCTTGATCCCATCTGAACCAGATGAAATTATTTCAATTACACTATGACTGTTTATGTCATGCTAAAATCGAGGCAAAAATCCAACTTGTCCAATATTTTGATTTACAAGAAAATACCTGAAAAACCAGGGACAATCCCATCGGTCTGAGCTGTCCTTAGTGGTCACTTTTACGAAACAAATATTTGCATACTAACACATCAAACTAAGATAGCAAACATCACACCTGCCCTGATCTTAGTTTGACTCATCAAACATAGGATCATGCTGCTCATTTCAGGGATCGTCCTCTCCTACTGCTGTCTCTGTGTTATTATTTTTACAATCTACTTCAATACGAGAAATAACAAGACCAGTCTCTGGGCGAGCAACCAATTCCACCAAAAATGGAAAGTTTTGCAGAAGATTTGGATCATGCAGTGCTGCGTTGTGTATTTTAATCTCCCTGCATTCAAATGTTCCACCCGTCACTATTTTAAGGGAACACAAGAGCTGCATCCTTCAATCAGCTCTGTCCAAGCTCAGTATGACTTAGTAGTACTCTACAGACAAGCCAGAGCTTTTATCCTCCTACAGTAGAATGATAGGGAGGTGCAGGGCTAAGTGAGACTAACCTGATGTTAACATTGTTGGCATGCTGATGATCACAGCTCAAAGTAGCGCTGTGTCTAAGTGCAGCCACACAGAGCTGCTTGTGAGGCTGCAGCCTCTGTCTTGTTGTACAATGCGACATGTTACAGTGCACATACATAAACTTTATCGGCCTTTTATTAGCATCCACTAGCCTGGATAAGGGCCAAGAGACAAATCTGAGAACGATACCTCACGTTTCAAACAATATTTAAGCATTAACACCACAGCAACAATAGTGCATATGCAGCAAAACTGTGGTTTCTTATCTTTTCCATCATCTATAGGGGCACATATTTGCTGAATCACTGTGTGCTGTAAACTATTTTCATCATAAGAGCCCAACAAGCAAAACACTTCTAAGCTTTTGGTTTTTTTTTAGTAAAAAAATAAGAGAGCGGAGGTTAAGAGGTTTACTACGGGCTGACAATTTATCAAACAGTGTAAATATAGACTGAAAATATGTGGAGAAAAGGGGTCCCACAGGGAACTCATCCAGCATAATGTATGGTGTGTGATTCAACTTCGAGGCCTCTGAACTCAGCTTTACAAGCCTTAGATGTGACACTGAATGATCTTTTAATCTTACGATGATTAAAAAAACAAAAACACTGTCAACAGATGTACCAAACTAGAAAAGATCTGATCCAACAAGACTGAGCATCTGCAGCTGCCGTGTGACCTTCATGCACTGCGCTCGTGCACGCTCGCATTGTGAGTGTCTGTTCTCTCACTTGTCCAGAGGATTGACGCGAGTTTCGTAGCTCTTCATGACGCGCAGCACTTGCACATCCTGGGACAGGAAGCAGGGGGGCAGCAGGCCGTGGATGCCCAGTTGCAAGCGCTCCTCCAGGGTGAATGCCATTCCCTGCAGGGCGAAAGAGGGCCGATTATACAACGCTACGGTCTCGGAAAAAGGGAAAACTAAATAGGACGATCCAGACCACAGTGACTCATGTGTTAGTCATCACCCTGTGCCGCGAGGTTAGCTGTGACTCATACCCGCGCCCAAATACAGTGGTCTTTTTGATGTTTTCTCCTGATCAGAAATTACACTCTTGCATGAAAACACTGGTAGAGAAAAGCACACTGAAAAGTCCTGAGATGTGTTGGTAACCAAACAACATGAGGTTGAGTTTTTATTCAGGTAAGCAGCCCTGTGCCCCTCTGCCTTGGCATTGGCAGGCTTCCTAAAGCGTGATTCGAGGGGGGGAGTGCGAGGTTTAATCTATTTATTCTGTCCAATAGTGAGGGAGCCTGAACCCACTCCCCTGTCAGCTCGACTTCTCTTTCCACGACTCTGCTTTATCGCTACTCGTCGCTTCCCCTCGATTCCTGCACGCCAGAGAAAACACTGACCTACATGAGGAATAAAACTGGCCTTCTGGGCTCAGTTTGCTTTACCGTGGGTCTGTAAGCGCTGATGTCCTTGTAAATTATTCATGCCGGCAGAGTAGAGTGTGAAACGCGATACTGGGTGTTTACATTTGCTAAGTTTCATGTGAGCTTCTTCTCCCGTTTGGATGGAAGATTGCTCAGAATAATTGTGGATTTCACACCGAACTGCAGCATTTGCTTCAGTCTGTGCTGTAGCATTGCAGCTGGAGGTCATTAAAAGGAGACACACTCATGCACAAAACACCAAACCAGAGCAGCACCAGACAGGAAGAGAGGAAGTCGTATGTTAAGGGAAACTTTCTGAAAATAAAAATCACCAAAGTGGATGGAAAACTTTTCACAGGCAAACCATTTTACCGGAGCAAGGTGACCGTGGCTGCAGAGAAAGTCACAGATTAACAGAGTCGAGCTAAAGCTATTAGAGCAAGCAGTTCAAGAGGTAAACCTGTTAAAGTGATGCTCTTAAGCAGCAGTCACAATAAATCTCCAATGCATAACCTGTCAAAAACATGGGTGAAAGCTGTAAACTGCAATGAGATTATCACCGGTTACTGTAAAGTTACAAAACCGGCATTATATTGTTCAAGGCCAAATACAGTAAAGAATACGAGGATGTTAATTTATACGGTTAAGAGCAGATTCAGTTTGATATTTGTTGAATTCAGGTTTGCAAAGCAGGGCTGATTTCTGGGCTGTAAAAATGTGAGAACATCCTTCCTCAATAAAAAACGTTAATGTTTAGTAGCCGGTGGAGGCGCTTAGTGTCAAACAGCGTCACACAAAACTGGATGGTGTGCAGGAAAATGTCCCTTGAAAATGAGCAAACGCCAGCACAAAGATTCCACTACGTAGTTTAAATATTTGTTTTTTGTTTTAAATCTAAGCAGTGCTCCACTTCCTGACGCTTTGCACTTCCCTGACCTGTGAGTCAGCATGTAACTGCTGACTGAGCATCTGCAGTGGAAACGACTGCGACCGCTCTCCTATCAACCAAAATAAAAGCAATAAACTCAGTTTAAACCTTGTTATCTGTCCTGCCGTCCTCGTTGTGCTGGCGAGGCAGATAAACGTACTGTCTTTATCCTAAGTTTGGAAAAATGCAGTCAGTCTAACCACTAGTGAGGGTTGTGGTGGAGGACTGGGTGTCTGACCAACTCTGGGGCTTTTACACATTTTGTGTTTACAAATTCTACACTTTTCTCGACTCACTCTTCCAAAGTTCATTGCAAATAATGTTATATGATAGTCTCTCTGTATTTTTTGGTCTTTTTGATTGATAAGAACCAACAATGAGTTGAAAAAACTCCATGCAGCCTGAATTATTCACCGTGTCCATGCGAATGAATGCAGCCGTAAAAGTACGGTTTACTTGTGCTCCATTCACTTATATGATTACTACACCAATTTAAAACTCATAAATGACAAGCTTAATGTTTGGTTATTAGAGATGCTATGGTCGTGGATTTGGTGTCCTTAAGAACCACATGAGGCAAAGCTGTTTTGCAGGCTGACATGCAGGTACAGAGGCAGCTCTGCACAGGATTGTGTGTTCAGTTGTACAACACACTTCCTACGTTGCTGCCGGCTCCAAATGCCATGAAAAACTCTCTGCTTGTAAAATCAACTCATTTTTAGGTTAGCAGAATTTCATATTTTACAAATTGCAAAGCAGTTATAAACTGGAAACACCTTATTTTTAAAAATATTTTCTTTACTTTTTTCCATACTTATCCAGGTGTGGCAACACCAACATCAACTTCCATACATGTCTACATTATGTACAGACCCTATTCCTCTAACTAGAAAATACTATTACTTCCATGCTAACAGTGGAAAAAGACGGTAGTGGGAATTCAATTCCCCATAAGTATTTATTATGTTATTTACTACGGCAGAAATTTTAAAAAGGCGCTAGAGGAATCTGCTGGGAGACCATTCATAGCTTTGTTACTCCACTATCGCAAACAGATATGACACTTTTAGTATTATCTGTTCATAAATGTTCCACCATCATAGTACAGCGTATGCGGGGCATTATGTTGTCTGTAGACACAGTCATGTGAACACAGCAACAACACATGTTTCCATTTTCAGACACCTTTGCTGCATAAAAAAATCACACATTCTGCAAACTTCTAACTAATTGTCATGTAAAAGACTGGCGAGTGTTATTTTTGTTCAGTAATATCTGCTGATTGTAAAGACTTGATTATCTTGGGTCTGTTTTTTTTTTTTAGTGGGCTTTATATAATTTCTCATTGAGAAAACCACGTGTGTGTGGTTTGTTGCAGCACTGTCCACAGTATATGACCGTCAGGCCTTTGACAGCAGAGCTATTATCACCTCTGTGCATAGGGTGTGTGTGTGTGTATGTGTGTGTGTGTGTGTGTGTGTGTGTGTGTACACTCATAACATCACACATATTATCTATCAGCAGTAGCAAGAAAGCTACTAAAGCATAACAAGACACAAAGACAGAAATAACCTGAACCACAGTGGTTGTGGTCTGTATATATAAATACACGTGTGTGTGTATCCACATTATGACATTGAATGTGTTTGATCTGATTAGTTGAGCTACAGGATGCACAACAATTATGATTTGTTCATTGATTAAATATGTTTAAAGCAAAAATCCAGTTTCTAAAATGTGAATATTTTCAGATTTTGACTGCATTTTATAGAAGGAAAATAAATACCAGTGGGATTCGGACTCTGGTCAGACAAAAAACATTTCTGGGATTCTGGGAACCGTTTTCATCCATTTTTTTTTCACAGAAAATAAATCACACAATTTGATCAATTTTTTGTTAGCATGAAAAAAAATAAAAGCTTCAGATGGATACCAAAACCAGACCCACCATCAGAGGAAAACATGCAATATCAGAGTATATAAAGAGTGTAGACCAGATGACAGGTGAGCCTCCCTTTCACCTGGGGAAGACCTTTAAGGGTTTTGTTTACATATTTGCACAAGAACCTCATTTAACTGATAGATGTGGAAGCACAGACGTGGGCAGACAGGGACACCTTGGTGAGCTCACCTTGTTGAGGTGGGGGTTCCTGGTGATGTCGTAGCCCCTCTTCTTGGTGCTGACGCTGCGGTTCGAGCCGGTGTGGCAGACCCGCACAGCCTGGAAGGAGGCCCTGTCGGCCGGCAGCCCACCTGCAGGGAGAGCCGGGGAGCCCGCAAACACCCTCATCCCGCCCGCGGCCGTGCGTCTGCACAGAGACAGAGCGGCTCTTCCTGGGAGAGAGTTCATGCTGCCTGCGGGGAGGAAAAACTCATCACACACAGGAGCTGCTGAACACAGTCACCTTCCACTTCAGAAAAAAGGACACATGACCCAGAAATGCCAAACATACCGAGAATAATACGAGTTCCTGCTGTAAACAAGCTGCTGGTAGTGAGTGAAACCGGCCCGTTTAGCTCAGAGCTGAGTCACTTACGGTGATAAACAACAGGTGCTGCGGTCACAGCAGGTATTCATGCTAATAAAAACAAACTGTTAGCTACATGATGAAGCGGCGGAGGCTAAAACACCAGCCGAAGTGTTAAGCATGACCACACAGAAACCCTGCTGTGTGCAGCTGCATCAGCTCTGCTAGCTACTGTTAGCTGCCCGCTGCTTTTATGATAATTAGCGTTTTCTCTATGGAACAATCGGCGCTGCTGCTAATGCTAGTTAGCACAAGCTAAGCATCAGTTAGCCTCACCTGGAGAGTACGTGAAGCTGCTGCGCACCGGACGTCTATCTTCATAGGAGGCACTTCTGTCCGCTTTGTCCGGTGCTCCTATTGACTGCCGTTGTTTTGAGTGGACGTGGAGGAGGATCGACAGCTAACAGCTGATCCAGGGTCCTTTGACATTGGCGGATTCACTTCCCCAGTCGGAGGCAGCCTCTCCAGGATCCGCGGCCACCAATCAGACCGCAGGGAGGCCCCGCCCCCCGGTGCTCCCATCTGACCCCAACATGCAGCATTACTCTCTCTGAATAAGTCTCATGAAGGCAAAACCCCCACCATTGTGCCTTTATTTAATGGTTGCTGCGCACAAGTTGCATGCATGGTCTTCCTGAATATTGGTGCATAAACTGAAAACAACTAAAAACTAGTCAAATGTACTACAACTGAACCAGTAATGCTGATCATGGTGCCACAATTTATCATTTTACATTTTTGTTTCTTTTGCATTAGTCTTAAACAGATAACATTTTAAAACTAAGCGTAAATGAAACACACAAAGACAAAGCCACCTGAACTCTGCAGTGTGCAGGTTTTCTAACAGCCAGTGGCTCCCTCTACTGGATCTTCCAGTGTCTCCCATTTGAAAAGACTCAGACTTCGAAGTAAAGCAGCTGCATGTTGAAGAGAAATGATGCCTTTCTTAACCTGTGTGGATACCCCCCCACGGCAAAATATGCAGCTGCAACTACAGTGCACAATGATATAATAAATCAAACCTCATAAATGCCTCAAAAATGACCGCATTAGTTAAACAAAATGGAACATTACCTATATAAGGATATCTATTGCTGTTAGACTGCCTTTTTTTAAAAAGCCATTTAGCAATTTTTACCTAATAACCTGGCAACTTAGTAAAAGTATCAACTACCTTGTATCTTAAAAATTCATAAAATAAACCTACAAACCTAATAATGGTGGAAACAAATGAACAATAACCCCACATATTTAGAGATCACACAAAACAAACAGCCACAGATCTCATTAATGCAGTGTCTCATAACACAAATTGTTATTCACATATTCACCTTTCTATACCTTTTACACTTTAAATGTTATGATTTGCCCTTTTTTTATTTATGTATTATGCTTTCATACATCAAGTTAAAATTAACAATTTGAAATCTGCATTTTATGACCCAGCTAGTTTTTGATTTTAGTGCTGCAAAGTTCCAAACAAACATGCAAGTAATCACATTAAACCTGCAGATCTAAAGCTGAGGGCAGCTTCCCCACTTGCTAGTCAGTGTCAGGATCCATTTTCAATAAATCTTTTGTATTCAAATTCAATCCAAGAACATAAAGGACCCACTTCACTAGCTGCATATAAAAGGTTTTATTAAAAACACACATTTCATGATGGTACATCTGAATTAGTCATAACATGAGCAAACATTAACCAAAATCACAATTATTTATTGCTGTTGTGGATTCAGTAGCGAAATGTCCATTAATCTGTCTGTTTTTTTCTAAAATGTCCATGTAGTATAGTTTGTATTTCTGTTGTTGCTGCCTTCTAATGTTTTCATGGATAAATACAAAAAAAATCTTTAAATAAAACAAGAAATTATGCAAAAATAGGGTATTACTGTAAAAAAACAAAACAAAAAATAAATGCGTACTGTGTGTGTGCAAAAGACACATCACATAATCACAATGACAGACCTACATAATCCACAAAATATTACAGTATTCAACAATCACATTGTTGAAACTGTTTTATATTTACTTCACCAAAAGGACAATTTATCCATCACCAAAATGACAACACAAATACAAATTATAGTCTCAAACAGCTCGGACAACAATCAAACATTATTTATGTCAAAAACAAGACACCAGTTTCAGGCCTCGTCCATCAGTACAACGGTATTCTATAAAACAGGCGTTTTTCTCTTCCGTTCCCAAAAGAGAATCTTCAAATAAAAATGCAAAACCCAAGTGAAGCACTGTCAAGAGCATGACAAACCACTGGGTGGCGCTAGAACCATAACCCTGTAGATATTAGGGTGGCATGCTATTGTCAAAAACAGGTGTTGCAATATGTTAATTTATTGCAATTTATATTGTGATTTTTTTGACTATTTGGAAAGAATTGATCATTCTAGCATGACTGGGGTGATTTTGTATGTTTGTATGAAAAAAATATTTTAAAAAAGGTGAAAAAAAGCGGTTTAGAGCCTTTCTCATAATGACAGCACATCATGAAGGGGGGAATAATATGTGTAGACTGATTCTGTATCCTAGTTGAGGAGTAACTGTACATTCAAGCAGAAAACATGAGTTGTTGGCGAGGTGAGCACCAGCATTATTCTGGACACGCCTGCTGCTGCATAAGATCACCTCATTTAAACAAAGGAGGTAATGACGGATATGGGTGGGCAATCTAATGATCTTATATCGTGGATCTTTTTTGTAAGCATATAATCTGCTTTTCAGAATCATTAAAATAAATAAATACCAGCGCTGTCAAAGTGCAAACACAATGCAGAGATTTGTGGTGTGACAGGTTTGGTATCCAGGCAGCCATAGCACAACTAACCATGTGTTCCACTGAATCTGTGGGGACGATTGTGACAAGATCTTGATATGATATTTTGGACAGATAACCAACCTCTAACAGGGATCACTTCGACACCACAAGCCAAATCAGTTTTCCCTGTTTAAACATCAACACGGCAAATGGTGTCTCTGGATATCTTCACAAAGGAAGAAGTTTGCCAAAAGCTCAATTTTTAGTGACCTAAAACTGTGTTTGTCTGTGAATGAAAAGCCAAAACACATAAAAAAGAGGATATGTTTAAAAAAAAAAAACCTGTGTACATGTGGACAAGGCCTAAATAAAATTACATCTTATCTGGAATATACAACCTTAACTCAAATGTTTTTCGACATACATAAAAAGGACTTTTTCTGTCGTAATTACATACAGTGCATACAGAGTACAACTACATCCATACAGTACATTTTCACTATCAAAATTCACGATAAAAACTATCTCTTCAGCTGACAGAACAGATTAAGGTACCTACTCTTTGTCTTCATTTTGCCAGTTGTGGAAACATTCAGGGAAAGGTCAACAGATAGAAATGGTTCAGATGACTACGCTGGTGCTGCTATGGGAGCTTCTATCCTAAGAGACAGAAACGTGACACATGTGAGATTAGAATCAAAGAGGGAGCTCTGATGATTTAATGCATGCAAGTAGAAGAAAAGACAAGGATGCACAAAGAGATGAAAGAAAGAAATTAGCCGGGACTAAAAGTCTAAAGTCACACTGAAGCTCTGGGCAGGTGTATGGAGACAAAGCAGGTATTTGAGGTCGATGCTAACTTGCTCAAAATGTTAACATCCAGATGACAAGCAGGTGCAATATTTACCATTTTATTTAAGCATAATAATATTTGTTTATTAGGCTTCAACAAAAGTACAGCTGAGGCTGATGGGAATGTCACTGGTCTTGCAGGTATTTAAACTAAACATAAACTAAAGTATTCGACACATTGTAGGTGCGTTCCAGGCCCAATGCCATAATACTATTTTGCATGTGAGAAACAGACTTTGCATGTCCCAGTGCACAGTATGTCAAATGCATTATGTCAAAGCACCAGGATGTGGTACAACTGGTTGCATTTTGCAGCATGCTTTTCTGGCCATTCTGACAATCCTACAGGTATGTCACGCTGTTTCCTGCAAGTGCAAACAAGCTTGAGCAGACAGACTCATTACACACTACAGACTGAATGAATATACGTGCAAGATGGTCTAATAATGTTAAGATGTAATATTAAAACAAAGTGGTGGTTCCAACTGTATACTTATTGAATGAAACTGAATAGTTTCTAAGCACAGTTATAATACTTAGTGAAAGTAAAAAAGTGTGTGATTTGGAATGCACGGTATATTTTTCTTTTTTTTTTCTTGCATGGTATATTTTTCACCATAGAGCTAGATTTAAAGTCAGGGAATTGTCAAGTTATTATAATTTATGATGAGATGTCTGAAACTATAACCTTTCGTAGCGATCTGTATAAGAACTAAGGAGACATGTCGCTAAAAGCCACAAATGTGAACCTCATGATGATCAGATCGTGAATGTCAGTACAAATTTTATTGGTAATCCACTACTGATGGAAACTTTTGATTGAAAAACCCATCCAAAACACCATTTTACGAGACTTTATATTAATGTATGATGTCTGAGTAATAACTAGAAAACTCCCTAAATGTACAGTATTTTCAACATGTCTATGGTGACTATTGCGTTTTTTTCATAGTTTTATTCTCCAGCTGATTTAGAAGCAGTCTGATGAGCCCATGTACACCAACCATGTCAATAAAGCATTACATGACCATGGAGCTGCCATTAACAATCAATTACATCTCATGACAGAGCTACTATTGCCTCACATGACCTCTTATAAACAGTGTAGTTGAATCCCACTGCAGTTAACTTGTTAAGGAACATGTCCACTGTGAGCCACAACACACTTGCAATTCATGCATGTTCAAAAGCCCAGTATTTGCACTGCCAGTCTGGATTTCTACTGAATGATAGGTTCCTTGGAGTTACATATTTGCACGATTATTTGGTTTTCAGAATCTGTTGGGATATCCTACTTTAGATCAAAGCAGTGGACTGACTGGTACAGGCAACATTAGAGCCAAAGTGCTAGCAAGGTTAGAAAGTGTTGCAAGAAAGTGGTGAAGAACAACAACAAAAAAGACAGAACACAGTTGCACAAAGAGACTCTCAGCAGACCTCTAGTCCAGAGCATATGTCAGAAGTTGTGTGTGGCTCTTACAGACAGATGGTTGTAGTTCCTCCTGCCGTTACTGCGTCCGGTCTGCATCTCGATGGAGGAGTAGCTGGGAGGCTTCTCTGGCCAATTGTTGCCTTTGCCTCCTTTTCTCCTCCTGCTGTCCTCCTCCTCTGAGCTCCAGGACCCTCTGCGGTGCTGTGGAGGAGAATAGCTCCGCTCCCTCCGAGATGCTCTGCCGTGCAGCTCCTCCATCAGGTCGTCTCGGCTTCGGGTACGAGGTCTGGACCCACCTCCTCTCCTCCCTGCCGAGCTTCCTCTGTCGTGCCTTGATCCCCTGTGTGATTCTCGTCCTCGCCTGTGGTCCCGATCCGAATCGTCGCTGTAATCACGCAGGATCCCCCGCCTGGGAGGAGAGACGTCTCTGTCTCTGTATCCACGGCTGCCGCGGGGGAAACCAGAGCGGTTGGTGCTGCCGCTGGACTGGCTGGACATCCTCTGACCTCCTCTGGCTACATCACCACTACCAGGCACACGCTGGATAATAGGAGGCAAAGTGATCACTCTTCTCTCCATCCCTCTCACCCCCATCTCATCCAGCGCTGACAGCATACTTGGGGGCCCGGGGGAGTAGGGGACAGGTGGAGGGGCAACCTGGGGCTGTGGGTGAGACTGTAATGGGTGCATATTTTGGACTGTATGCGGAACCATTAGAGGCGGCACGACATCCAGCCCTCGCACCTGGTTCTCCAGGTAGTCCAACACCTGGGTGGCACCTTGACCGCTGCTACGCATGCTGCTGTTGTAGTGATGTGGAGGAGGAGGAGGGGGCTGCTGCTGCAGTGCCATGGGAGACATCTGCATGGGAGCCATGGCAAAGTTTTGCTTGGTTGGATAGTCTGCATATGAGCCTGGAGCCAAAGTAACGGAGAGGTCAGACCACAACAGAATTCAGAGATATGCAACAACAATTAAAGCTGCAACAACTGACTGACAGAAACAAGCTATAAACACAACAGTGACACATTTTCATCCTATGAAGTTGAAATGTTTACACACCATGCAGTCATGGTGTAATATCATTCACTTGGGATCTTTGCTTTTGATCAACTGATAAATCGGAGTCCAACATTGACGCTGCTTCTAGCTCTGTTTTTGATCTCTATCAAGTTCTGAGGAAAATATCTGTCTCTCTAGCAGCTAATTGCTAAATATCTCTCATTTGGTGCTGGACTGGTCATATACAGTTGGTTTTTATAGCTTTTTGACTGAAAACAGCTTAAAATGCTGCAGTAAGAGTGGGAAGAGTGAATCAGAACCAGGAGGCTGAAAAATAATAAGGTGAAACACTCCTCTTTTGAGCTAAAGGGAGGCTCGGGGTGGGCTGGTCACAACAAATACCTTTACTTAGGAGTATTTGCTTTCAGTACATTATGTTCCGTTTGTTGCAGTTTTTTCAATAAACTTACTGTGAGTTTACTGGCTAAAATCTATTTGAATAGTACTACTGTGCACCAAACAAATAAAAGAAGAAGCTCACTTAGTCTGCTTTCAATTATTACAGTGCACTTAGAAATTAGGCTTAGAAGCAACAGGGAATTCTTCGAGGACTTCTTTGCCCTGAGTTTTGCCTTTTAAACTACATAAACGCTGCACTAACCATCTGATGGGGGTTCTACACAGCACTACTCAAGGCTAAACTACAATCACATTCATGCTTTAGAAGAAAAATAAGTCATTTTGTGTAATCAATGTTTTGATTTCATGTTCTTTTAAAGTTGTATTCAAATCTGGTGCTTTTGTTTTTGTACTATCATTAGAAAAACAAAACTACTTATATCATTGTGTGCTTTTTGCTGATATACATGTTTGCACAGAGTCTGTGTTCTATTTGACATCTTTGTGTCTTCCAGCTTCTGAGGCCAAACCAAACACACGCCCTCAAATGATGCAACAAAGCATTCAACAAAGGAATAAAGGTTAAGGCTCATTGTGCTTTTGTGTCACTCACCTGAATACAGCACGGGGACGCCCTGTGAGGACGCATTAGAGCTAATAGGAGCGTAAATGGGTTGACCATTCATCCAGGGTGCCATGGCCTTCTGAGCCTCTTTCAGCATCCGGTGCTGCATCACAGCTGAAAGAGCACAGAGGATCAAGCATTCAGTGTTTGAAGTTGGATATATAGATAAAATAAGAGCGAGAATGTTTAGGTAAAGACTGGATCATGTCAGTCTTTGTGGGCTTTAAAAATCACACAGCAGAAATTTGGAAAGCAGCGTAAGGGAAATCATCCGTCACTGACTTTACATCTGTGCTTTTCCTGTGTCTTCAGTAAAAGGGTCTGTTATTTTACTCTGTTTGCAAAGTGCAAGTATCAGCCATGTTCCAAATCACAGTGTTGTGACAAACAAAGTAAATCAGTTGATGGGTAAGATAGAGATTTGACTTACAGTGTATGGTTTTTTAAAAATGTCATACCACTGATGTGTCTCATCCACCATGCGATTATATGACACACAATGACACATTCGGCAGCTGACATTCATTTTCAAAAGAAAGATTAATGCTGCATACCACATACAAAACATGTTCTGAAGCAAAGAAAGTCAAACAAGTTTTGCACATGAATACAATTCGACCTATGAAATAAGAGCTCCGTGTCCAACACATCTTCTCTTTGCGTCTGTGTGTTTGTTTGTGAACGTCAACAAACAGTGAACCAAGTGCATTTTCTGAAGTGCTGTTTTTAAGAGATGCTCGTATTTTTTTTTTTGCTTTTTATGTTACTTCTTCAACTCAGCTAAAGAAACCATTGCATTTATTTGACAGCAGTAGTTACAAGTTATTTCATGGACTTAAAGTCTCAGTTTATGGAAGACATTACATTCTTTTAGATTAAATGAATCAACTGTGTATAAACTAGTGAAAATCAGATATCTTTATCGAACATAAAAATACACCTCCATTTTCTATAACTTTATTCAGAAATGACATGAAATAATGAAACACTGGTGATTATTTAATATAATGAACACTTCTACTTTGGATACTTTAAGTACATTCTGCTGTGTACTTTTACAAAGTTAAGATCAATGCAGATGCAGTATTTTATTTCAGTTCATGAATTTAAAAATTGTCGTATTGTCATTTTTACTTAATAAAAGTTTAAATACTTTTTGCACCACAGACGTGCCTTCCTCCTGATTTGATCAGGGGATTTTACCTCCTTGCCAGTTGTGTGTAAACAATAAACAAAGGACAAAAGCATCTCTCCTACCTTTTTCCGGGCAGCAGCATGTCTGAGGACAACATGGACAGCGGACGTAGCAGCAGCACCTCTGTGGACAGCACTGACAGCAGCATATACAGAGGAGCATGATGAGCAGGAGAGCACCGAGGATGATCAACAGGACTGTCAGCCAGTCTGCAGCACAGGACAGGAAAACATGATGACTGATATTTCAGTCTTTCACATTTTGAGTATCTTATTCGATCAAACTTAGCTAAATGAGGCCACTTACGGAACACGATGAGTTTGACTTCTCGATCTGAGTCTCCTGTGGTGTCTCCAGCAGCATCAATGCTGCAGAAATACACACCGTTATCCCACCACATCACCTCTGTGATGACCAGGTCAGCCTCTGTGACAGAAAACAGCACTTGAGCATTAGAAGGCAGGTTAGGTTTAGAATTATTCTCAAATGGATCACTGCAGTAAAAGTCAACTAAAATTTCTTTTCATACAAAAAGATGTTCAGCAAAGCTCATAAGCATTATATGTGTTTAAGTATCTTGTTGAACACAGTTTTTGTAAGGGATGTGTGAGATTAGTTGACTTGACGATGAAATGTTGCTGTCCTCGCTAATTGGCACTAAAAACACGAGCTGGTTAAACTAATTATTTGTTGCATCTATGATGTTGTGCAGCCACCTACAACTACCCCCCTCTCTCTATGACATTGTGACCCAACAAGGTGGAAAGCAGGACCAGTTTCATAGAACCTGAGCGGTCTGGCAACACTGTAATCTAAAAACTAAAAAATATGGTTGTATGTAAGCTCTTTATGAATAAACTGACTTATAACCCATTGACTGGAGCGATGTGTAACCACATTCAACACAGGCATGTGGGCATATTATTAGTGAGTTGTTGGCATGCTTTTTGGAATCAAAGTGCAATGTTCACACACACAGCACTAAGTTCCACAGATTCCAGTGGCATTCATTGTACAATGTGGTTGATGAAGGATGTGGTTAACAGTTTCAGATTGCTATTTTTGGACAATGCTTGACCTTATTAAATACACTGTGCTTTTATTTTTACTTCTAGACTGGTACAGCAGTCTAAGCTGAATTTCTGTTTCATCAATAGGGAAGTCAGTGGTTAGGAATATCTGTAGTCTTTATACTGTGTTTGCTTCAACTTGCACAAAAACAAAAATAAAGCCAGTAATATTATAAAGCAAGTAATGCACTGACTGGAGAACACATGCTCAGATACCACAATAAAACTCTTAAATATCCAAGCAAAAACAGGACATTGTCCTTATTTCTACAAAGCCTGTATGGTGTCTTAAGATGTAAACAAATCACAAATTACTCTAGAGTGAGATTACACATTTTCATTAAGATGGAATCAGACTTACTGTTTTGAATAGTAATTTTGCGTTCTCTGTAGTCTGCGCCCAGAATGGGCTCATTGAGGCCCCTCTTCTGGATCACTGTGCGAACTGTGCGCTGGCGGTCCGGACAGTCGTTGGACGGGTCCTGACCCAGCTGCAGAGCCGCCTGATAGGCTTCAGAAAGAGAGGAAAAATAGTGAAACAGGTTCAACTTATTGCATTTTTCTATTAAAGTCAGTGTCAGTGTTACTTTGTACTGCTCAATTCTTTGTTCTGCGTATTTAAGTACAACCATCTTTCTATCTCTAGAAATATAGAACAGTTTGCCACATATTAAAACAGATTTGATGCTGCTGCTTCAAAGACAACATGTGCCTTATGATATTAGGTTGATAAGATATTTTTTCTTACTTGCAGTGACATTTTGCTATTCTAACATCAGTACTACAGACTACAGTTTGGGCTTATCATGGCAGGAAAAGGTGTAATAATAATATTAAAAGTAAACTGGTTCCAGGGAATAACTCATGAAAACATTTAATGGAGAAGTCAGTGCAGTACAAAGAAGCCAACACAAACATAACCAGGACCGTGAAACCGAAACAGCCACCATCACTCTCAGTACTTAAACCTGTGCTCGCTCTTAGAAAGGTATTTAGGAATTTTCTGCAACCACATTTCAAGAAAAACAACTAAATCAAACATTTGAATGAATTTTTTTTTCTGAGAGAAGAATGTCTGCCAGAAGAGTTTCTGCTCATTTTGCTGCAAGAAATACTGCAGTTGAATGCAACATGTTTGCAAGACTGAAACAATGCTCTTGTATGGTGTGAACATCCTGGTTAGGTTGTCTATAACTTCTATGTGGGTAGAAAAAGTACACTGACAAAGGGCTGTAACTATATGCACTTTGAGTAGGTGCACAGCAGTTTAAAAGCCATAATGGAAACAGTAACTTCTGCACACTTACTCCAAAGTGACGATTAAAAATCTAAATCAAGTTCATGACATTTTGATCCAATGCAGCTTTTCATAAGATCAAAATGATTAAAACAAGCTTGCTTTGGAGTAAGTGTGCAGGTTTGTTTCCACTAAATAAATGACATGCCAAATACATTTTGAAATGAGTAAAATGCACTAAAGAAAACACAAAATTAATATTGTTCGCAGCATGTTTTTGTAAAAAAAAAAATAAAAAAATCACAGAGCCAATATTTGACCACAGGCTTCTCTCTGGAAAAAATACAAAAGTAAACACTATTCAGTGCTGTAAGAGTTTGCATGCACGTTCTTCAACTGGTGGGTCTAACGTCTTAACATCGAACCCCTTTTTACTAAAACACACCAAAGGTTCAGAAAAAATTGATCTACTGAACTCTTTGGGTAAAAATCATGCTGCATCACTATATGCTGCAACATTTCAACCTTTACAAGTTACAGGAGAGAAACTGCTGTTGGGCTGCTTTACACACGTTTTACTAAATACAGTCTTGTTGTTGCTGTGTGCTATCCTAAAATATTTTGACATTTTAAATGAGAGGGCCAGTAATTGTTCGGGGATTAATCGTAGGGAGGAAGAAAACCCTCAGTGAAGGACATGGGTGAAATCATGTTCCAGGAAGTTAGTTTTTTTTTTTTTCACCTGAGCACACAAAGCTCTCATTGATTGCTCAAGACTTTGACTTCTCGTAACAGGAAAAACAAAGGTGTAATCAATCAATACTGTTTCAATTATTTGTCCCACTAAAACACACAACTTGAACTCCTGATTACAGAGGAGCCATCATTAATGTCACCAGCAACACCCGGGCTTTGATTCAGAGACATGTTTTCTCCATAAAAACATTTTTTCTGTCCAAAAGGGTTCTAACTGTCACATGTGTTACATCAAAAGTAATTCCATCTCAACACTGTTTTGCAGAGGCACCATCGCTGCCTTATGGGCAAACCGCCACCCAAGACAACTGTGACCGGCTCAAAGAAACACCAGCAAGTCAGAGCTTATTTTTCCACTATAGCAGAATTATTGCAGCCGGACCAAGGCTGTTCTGCAGACTCTTACAGATGATTCTCAGGAGAGTTAAATGCATTCTTTTTCCTACCCTTTTACTCCATGGAGCATTATCTTGAGATCCAGATCTTATAATGACATCCATGTATTTTTTAACTATTGTTTTCTGGCCTTCTGGCTTTATTAGTCAGGATAGTGAAAGAGCGAGACAGGAAAGTGGGGAGAAGAGTGGGAGGAGGACCTGCAGCAAATGGCCATGAGCAGGACTCAAACCCTGCTATAGCCCCTGTTGATGGGTCGCCCGCTCAACTGGGTGAGCTACAGGGGTGCCCATAATGACATCCATTTATAATTGTGAGACAGTAAGTCACAATTATAAATATTCACACTTCCACACAATAATGCAAAACACAGGACTATGATGCTGCAAAAAGGTGCTTCACATCCTGAGTCCTGTGTGGTGAGGAAAAGCATTTTGGTTAAAGTTGGTAAACGGCTGTAGCTTCAGTTAAATATTCAACAAGTTGTGTATAACCTCTGTGCACCTTTTAATTCACATAACTTTTTTTCCATCACATCCTTTGGTTCAGCAGCATAACTGAATTTTAACATTAGACTCTCCTTGCACCTGCAGCCTCACCTGTGGAGTAGAACTCCAGTACCGGGTCTTTACAGAAGGACTTGTACCTCCAGGTGACCAGGACATCCTGAGGGTTTGCTGAAGTCGAGTAATCGCAGCGCAGAATCACACTGGCGAACAGCATCGTCCTCCTCTCCGTCTCCGGAACAATCACCTGAATGGACAGCAGCTCTGCAACAAGCAGGAACAGAGCAGCGAGATGAAATGGAAGATAAAATGTGAAACAGCAGCTTACGTGCCTCACAACTCAAATTACAGCAACTTCAGACTAAAGAAAATCTCAAGTGATTTCTCTGGAATGCTGGATCGGTAAGAATCTGGCCGGACTGGTTAACACTTTACTCCATAAGTCTTTAACTGCAGCACGTTCTGTACTGTGTCATTAGAAGCAATAACAGCTGTCAGTCACGATCCATAATGTTGAGTTTAGAAAAACAAACTGATGACAGGAAACCACTGCTGATGAGAGAGGACAAATATCAGTCAAGGTTGAAAGTAAAAGCTAAGAACTTTATCTTGTCTGATGTGTAACAGCTTTTCTAGGTTATTTATGTATCCAAATATAATCAAAATTAGGGCTGCATGTTTTATGATAATTTTCTACTATTAACTGATGAATGACTATAATTACAGCTCTAAGATACATTAGAGTCATTAATATCAAAGGGGAAAGTCAGACAGATCATAATACAAGCGGTAAAGACATTCAGAACAACTAAACAAAAACAACAAAGGCCATGAATGGAAAACAAATATTAGCTATCAATATTCTGAACCAGAAGTAAGGACTGAAAATATTAGTAGATTAACTGATCCAACCGTAGAGCAAACAGTTAATTGATGAGCAGACGAGGTGTTCTGCAGATTAATCAATACTGAAAACTGTCATTAGCTGCAGCACTGCACGGCTGATTAAAACAACTGATTACAACTGATTTTTTAATATATATAATTGTGTGCAATCAGTGTTTGTTTTCAAGACACATTTTGGCAGAACATACATAAAAGAAGCAAAAGGCGACAGCACAGTTTGACATATTATGCAGGTATCATCATACTTGTAGAAAAAGAAGAAAACTTAGCTCAGAGCTGCAACAATCAATCAAATGTCAGCTATTCAATTAAATAACTATTTAATTTTTCAAAAGAAAAACCTAAAAATTCTCAGATTTTAGCATCTTCAGTGTAAATATTTTGTGGTTTCTTTGCTCTTCTATGACAGTAAACTAAATATTTTTGGGATGTGGTGAAACAGGACACTTGAGGATGTCATTTCTGGCTTCAGGAAACACTGATCAGCAGTTTGCACCATCTACTGACATTTTATATCATTAGTTATATTGAACGGCTGCAACTAATGATTAGAAATAAAAATTAGTTGCAAACTTACTTATGTAAACTAAAAAGAGAAGTGAACATTTTCATCCATTGTTTAAGAGAAAGTACATTAGTCAGACTGCTGTGGGTTAAAATCGAAGTTTTCAGGGGGTGGTTTTGTGAGTAATTCATTCACAGCGAGTCCTTGTTTACACATGATAGCTGACAAACACAAACTATATCAAAATGTGCAGCTTCTGTTGTTAAAAAAGGAAAAATAGCTAAATATCCAGATGAATGGTGACTGTAGAAAACAGAATTACACTCCAAGAACCTTCAGGTGAGTGTCTGTAAACATTTTAGTAATATTAATATTTAATAGAAAAGAAACAAGCCAAAAACTTCTCTGGATTTGACTTTTTTTTGGATCAAATTCATAATTTGTATTTACTTAATTCTAAACATGCAACTATAAGATGATGCCAGATGTACAGATAGTCGAGTTTACTTTAAAGATTAATTAAAATCCAAACTAAGCAATGAGATAAATTCAATTTCTGAAAGTTTGTGACAAGAAAGCTGACAATTAGTTTCATTACAGCATCTCTTTTTTTAATGAGCTGTTTGGATGAGATTTTTTTAAATTTTTTTTTATTTTTTGTTTTCTAGAAATCTAGTGCAGTCACGTGACGGCGCTCGGCCTTGTCCTGTTTACACCTGTCGATAATTAACCTCAAGACTTTACTGTTAGTTTCGACTGTTTGCTCAAAGTGGCGTCTCTCGACATTCCTCAGGATAAACAGAAAAGAAAAACACGGTATATGTTAAGAATAACAAACTTTAGGCGGCCGGTGTGTTTACTATAAAGAGTTTAAAGCCTCACCTGTGGGCAGGTGAAGCAACAGGAGCGCCATCAGTATCATGTTCCCCATCTCGTTGCTCTTTATCCTCCAGCGGAAGCGTCGCTCTCTACTATCCGATAGGCGACAGAAAATCCACGAAAAATCCGAAATGTTGGCAGAAAACCGTGATGGAGACGCAGCTCTGCATAGTATCCAGACTTTTCCCCTTCAACACGGCATGTTAGTCCGGCTCAGTTCGCTGTTTGTGGCTGAAGGAGGAGCAGTTTGTGGCCGCGGAGACGAAGCGGAGAGTCGGAGGTGAATGTTGCCCCTCCCCCACCCAGATACAGGTGACATCACAGGCCCCGCCCCCTCTGACAGGTGCAACATGGAGGAAAGAAACGAGGAACAAACAGTCCTGAAGACTGAAAGAAGGTAAAAAATCAGCACAAATCAACAGATTTGTAGAATAGTTTCTCCTCAACCATCTCTGATTTTCCTGGAATCTTTACAGCATAAATATAGATATTTAAAATGATTAATTTATTGAATTAAAATAGCCCATCTACCCACTTTATCAATTTCTGTGCATT